GCGAGAAGAGGGGGATAGGCTGGCTGGACTGCGGAAACGAACCTTGAAGATCTGGATTACGCCAATGATGACTTGTGTCTGATGTCACACAAACTTGATGATCTACAGGTAAAAACTAACAAGTTGACAGAGGACGTGAGGCAGCGAAGACGGGACTTCAAGTGAATATATAGAAGACAGAGGTGATGAAGATACCGCACCACCAACAACAACAAACTCAGTCACCATCAAGGGGAGAAACTTAAAGGAAGTAACCTCCTTCACCTATCTAGGCAGCACTGTTTCAACTACAGGTGGCACAGACGAGGATGTCAAAGTCAGGATCGGAAAGCAAGTCAGGCTTTCATTAGCCTGAAAACCAGTGTGGAGATCTTCTGCACTCAGCATAAAGCGTGAACATCCAGATTTTCAACACCAACGTCAAGTCAGAGCTTCTGTGTGGTGGATGAGAGACTTGGCGCGTTACGAAAGGGATTTCCAATAAACTACAGACAATCATCAACAACAGCTTACGCTGGCTCGCTACTGAAGATCAGATGGCCAGAATAATGAGAATAAGCCACAAGGAGCTCTGGGAACGAACCAACCAAGAAGCTATCACCCAACAAATATGCAGGAGGAAGTGGAGATGGATTAGGCATGCACTGAGAAGGCCGACTGGGGACATCACGCGTCAGGCCCTCGAGTGGAATCCCGATGGGAAGCGATGGGTTGGACGTCCTAGAGTGACATGGAAGAGATCGTGCGAGCAGGAAATGAGAGCTTGTGGGTTGTCGTGGAACCAGGTTCAAAAGATCTCAGAGAACAGAGTTCACTGGAGATGTGCTACTGAAGCCCTGTGTTCCACTAGGAACCCAAGGGATTAATAATAATATAATATAATAATAACACGAAGAAAGAAACAGTGTTTGGATTGAACAGATTTATTTCGATGCAAAAAATACATAAAATATCTACACATGCATATGGAATCACAGCAGGAAGTCCTTGGATAAATTGCTGGCACTTAAAGCAATGAAAACAAACAGTGCATAGAAGTACTGAAAGGAATATTTGTGAAGAAACGTGTCCATTGGATGAACTACCCAGACGATTCAATGGTTTTCACCCGTCCATTGAATTCACTGCAGAAGAGGAGTTAAATTTAACACTACACTTCTCAGACATGATATTAAAAAGAGGAGACGATGTTTCAATCCAAAGCTCAATCTATTGCAAACCAGCTTACACTGGGCAATTTACTAACTTTAATATTTTGGCACCTCTTAGTTGTAAAAGAAATCTCATTCACTCACTATGTTCTAAAATACATAAAATCTACTCTTCTGAGCAAAAGTTGAAGTTTGGAACTCTCAGAACAGCACACTGATGGATGGATACCCTAGAAGATTTATTGATAAAACGTAAAAAATAAAATAAATTACTGCTCAACCCATTAAAGTTCAAAAAACATTTTCTTGAATTTAAACTTCAATAGGATACCACAGCAGAAGTTTTGAAAGGCCTTCTGTTAAAGTGTATCAATGATGTTTTTATTCTCCTAAACTGAGATTGATATTCTAAAGCCGTTGTCTTATTCGGCAATGTGTGAAAGATAGGCGAGTACTTATGCCCACATCTATGCCTATCTAAAAATTCATATACTCCTGTAGAGCTGACTGTATTGGCCCTCCGAAAATGCTTCAGTGAATATTACCCAGTTTAGATGACGAAACGCGAGCGAAGAAGTGTCAGTCATATGTGAACATCTACTGGATAAGGTCACTCAGCTTCTCAAAGTTCACCCTGTTAGGTAATTTATCAAGTTAAATTGAACAACTCCAAATGTCTGTGTTTCCACTACACATGCATCTCCGAAGCACAAGTATATATGAGAGAAACCCGAAACTGTGTTCTAAAGCTCATTTCGAAACTATTTTCTCTACCTTGGCCTCAACAATTCATTTGATTAGTTTACGATTGTCATTTCACTTCATTTTCGGTTTACTTCAGTTTAATTGTCATCATTTCATACACCTTCGACAACACTTTACTCTTATTTCACCACTTGATAACATCTCGTTTCTTATTCATTAATCCATTTTCTATTTCCTCCACGTTAACAAACTCTACTACCAACACCAATTGTATCATGCTTATACTGACTGAGAAACTTTTTTAGTACATTCATCTGATATTTTACGGATTATAAATACGACTGTACAGCTTGATAACGATGTCGTCGAAAATAAATACTATTTCACTGATATAAACCTTGTTCATCTTATTTATGAAGAAGAGATGATCAAATTTCACTGTATGCAGGTAATTAGGGTCTATTCTTTATTGAACCAAATATCTCTAACAAATTCATTACCGAATCTTTGATATAATGAAATAAGCGTTGAAAAGGTTAGTTGATATGAGAACATTATATTGATAGATGGTGACTTCTCCTATACTGTTGGCTACAATTTAGAGACATTGTGTTGTTTTTAATATGGTCAAGAATATCGTTAGGTTAGGAGGACAATTCTGATGATGTTATGTTCTCTAAGGTTTCATTGTCTTTCCAGACAACATCATCATCACAAACTTCAGAAGTTTATATTTTAGGATAGGCCAACTACTTTAAACAACCAGTTCATAGTTGTTCCTAATATCCTTGAAGAATTTGAGCATTGTGTCTAATTTGATCATTTTACACGTGTTTTAATACAATCCCAGCAAGTTTGAAGAATCAAACCAAGAATTTTTCTGAACTTTTCGTTGTGTAAGCCACAGCCTCTTTAGCAGCAAACTATATTTACATTTACATTTACTTGTTAGGTATTTGATAAAAAGAAACGATATTCTTTACGGAATATTCAACAAACAGTTTAAGATGGAATTATATACTATTTCAATACATAAGTTTTATTCGTATATAGACGAACTCTTATTTCTTTTTACTCAAAAGGCACCTTATTATGATTTCGTATATGCGTTTTATGAGATGACGGATGCTACCCAAACGACACTTATTTCACGAGATTCCTGTTAATGTAAAATGAGATCTACTGAGTTTAAGAGGTATGTGGCACAAATTCTGATAGTATAGTTGGAAAATATATCACATTCAGCTGTAAAAATGTTCTTATGTCAACGATGATGAGGTTATGGTTCATTGGTTTAGGAAGTTGACTTTCATTTAGTGGGTCATGGGTTAGAATTTCGCTCCATCCACTGACTCTGGGCTGCCAAATAAAATCATTAGCTCTCACATTGCCTACTACAAGCATGTACACAAAGTCATTCAGTGGATTCTGATTATTTTTTCACGTTAATTATGTATACTTTAATCGTTACTTCCATCTGATAAGATTAAGATTTTAATAAAACACCAATCGTTTTATTGGAGTCAGTCAGAAATGCAAAACATAAGTCGAGTTTCTTGTTAACAGTCAAAATTTTGATTACTAGATCTAGTAAATGAAAACATTCACCCTGTTGATTACTCCAAAGGATGTAAGAGTACAAACAGTACTCAGGTGTGATCACTTTTTTCTCTTTCGTCACATAGGTATGAAGTATTAAAGCTTGTAGAAAGATAGTATCAAAAGGATGAAAGTATATACTGCTTAAATTTGTTCAGCATCAATACATTCGATCTGAACTATTAGAGGAAAAAAGCTAAGATTGTAAAAGCATATCTATGGAAACGGTTCACGTTTGGTGTGTATAGATTACATCCGCCTCGATTTTCACTAATGTCTGAAAGTAGAAACAGAATGCAAAGGTGTCAAAGCAAATATACAACACTATTCTGAATACTCTATGATTATCAGTTTGAGTTGTGGAAGGTTAATTTATGTTTATTTGTTTAATTCCTAAATATCGATGGACACCGGTAGCCGGAGGGTTTAACTGAAATACCTTTAGGTAATAGAAATTTATCTTAGCATCAACCTTGTTCAATTTCCAAATGTTTTATTATCTAAATACTATCTATCCAATGACTTCAATCCCTTTTTTTCATATTTTTCCCTTATTGTTCTTGTTCTTTTTTTGTAAATTGCGTCTAACTACCTCTTTGAAAAGCATGAGTACTGTTGCAACACGTTTTGACCAAGAGCTAGTTAAACAAAGATCCAGTTTCCCTACATGTTTGTTCTTGTTTCACTTTCTTTTGAGATTTTTCATAAATTAGGCACACTTCCGAAAATTTCTTCGTAAGATTTTTCTGTTGCCTTTTATTATTCAGATTAGTATGTATCAGTTGAGAAACACTATGAAGAATACTCTCTGAAAATTTCAAGATAGTGTCGATTAAGGATTCATATCAGTTACGGAACCGTCGAAAACCACAAGAAGGTTATTCAGCTGGCATATTTCTCTAAATTAAACTACTTTATAATAGTGACAGCCTACGAGCTGGATTTCCCAACGTTTCAGTGAGAAGCCGTCACCACTAGTGTCCACCAAGTCGGGTGTGAAAATGATAGTAGCGCTACATCATGTGATAGCGTGGGAAAATGAGAAAATATGGATAATCGAACTCCGACCCAGCGGCTGAATGGTGACGTGTTTGCTTATGATCTAGCAGTTTTACTTTTGACTCAAGGTAGGGTTGTGCGCATGCCCGGCTGAAGAGTTCCACGCTGGATGAAGCAGCTGTCATTTGCTACCAGGTTTCAAATAGTTCTCTAACTGATGTCAGTCGGTGATGAATACTAATTTGAAATCAATCAATCCCATTAAACCTTCGAAGAGGATTGACGAAACAGGAAACTTTGCATTGTAAAATATGATAATATAAAATACTCATTAACGTTTAATACTCTTTATCAGGACTTTGAAGTGAAGCGCCTAAAATGATTGACTTAACATCTTCATGGGTTGTATTCAGAGCTGGAACAAATAGAAACATTCGAAGAACATTTTACCTATCTAGAATAATGTCTTTGGTTGAATTTACTTTTCTAGATAATAATTCATGAATGACTAATTTAATTTAAGTATTTTACAAATTTGTTTTATAGGTTGGTCAAATACTTCATGAGTTACTTCATGCCTTAGGAGTGATGCATGAAATTATGCGACCAGATCGTGATCAGTATGTGACTTTGCATGAAGAGAATATTGACAAATCATATTTAGCCGAATTTATGAAGATTAAAGAACATCAGTCAATTCTAGCAGATCGTAAATTTGATTTCCAGTCAATTAGTTTATATGATCCGTTTGTAAGTGAAATATTTCTTATGTATTATCATTTAGTAAGCCCATCGTTAGAACTCACTGTCATTCATTTCACTTGTATAATCACCTTTTCGTCTTCTCTCACTTATATTCTGACTATTTACTGACTGATCAGCTATGAGTGAGCTAGAAACTCATTAGAAAATATTGAGTATGATGTGCAAGCTGTCACTTCTAACTTTGCCTCTGTTATATCTGCCGAAAAGTTGAAAATATGATTCGCAGATAAGCATTATTCATCGCATTATTTTGTTTATCTTAAACAGTGTTCTACTTATGACTTATTTGGTAGCATTGATGTATACCTTGGCTTAAGAGCTTTCGAATGACCCTTCAACCATTTCTGTATGACCTTGACTGCTGAAATAATTGCCTATTGAGCGAAATAAACTATTATATGTCGTCTCATTTTCTGTGCATGAAATCGCTTGATACATTTGTATGAATTATGGTGCATTATCGAAAGGAAATTAAGTTGTGTAAATACAAATGACTCAAATTACTAAAAATATGAGGACAATAAGCATAAGAGTTTGTGTTATGCTATACAAGGTTGGTAGGGTCCATTCTCGTTACTCCTAGTGTTGGTGAATTGAGTATACAAGACCTTGCCAGTGCATACGAGATCAGTCACGTTCGAAATCAGCTATAGAGCGGATAAGAAAAAACATGTGATTCGAAAAAGTACTTACTACAAAGTGGAGATACAAGAGTTTCTAATAACCTTTTTCTTGAAATGACCTAAATACAAAGTTATCATTTTCCTTCTTTGACAAAAATAGCCTAGGGAATAAGTGGAATTAGTAGAGAAACAAGAAATATAGGATAGTTTAAGTACGTGAATGGAAGAATGTACATAATGACGGCAGGGAGATTGACTAGAATGACGCGTTTTTGCATGACTTGAAGGCCATAATGAGAATGACGCAGTTAGGTGCAACCTAACCAGTATATTTCGTCATGGTAGCCTAGACCATTCAGGCAATAAATGTAGAGCAGTTTAATGCCAAATATGAAGCAATTCATTAATTGGTGATATGAAATAAGCACTTGTTATACTATGAATGCAGTTACAGTGCACGGTTCAACATTTTGAAAAATAAGGTAAAACAGACTATTGTACGATATACTGCGTAACTGAAAGTTGAATAGTTTTGTAAAACTGTTTAATATTAACAGTAATGACGTGTAGGTAATCAGTTAGATAAAAGTAAAGGTCTTCTATATTGACTGGTTACTGGAGAGCACTGACCGAGTTCTATTGGTTTTTTTACAGTTTTGTCTCTAGGCTAGAAAGCACATCTATAAAGACTTAAGGTTTACTAAATAAGGTGTTAATTGAAAGATTGAGGTGCTTCGAATTCAAATCTAATGAAAGTGAGTTATCATACTTCTTCAGGTCTGATAAGTTCGATGGTGGTGAATTCAGTTGTATACACTACATGAATATGTAGATGGAAAATAAGTACGTGGTTTACGAAGGATAAGTATGAACAGAATGGTTCTATCAGTCAAAAGAGCACTGACAAGTTCAAGTTAAGAACGTTGTTTTCATCCCCTATGTATTCAGAAGTCGATTTAAGTAGATGATGAGCTGCAATCCAGTGATAAACTAGTCTAATTTACTCGACAATGTAGTATGTCAGTCGTCCAGTTACAGCGGTTAGCTAATTTTGTTACAATTCAACCACTAGGTAGCAAACATTTCAGCCTTTTAAAATCAGTTATTTGTGACCTGTAGGTTGTCGTTGTTTTTAGGAGAGCTATACACGATGCAAAAGCAGAATAACATCATAAAACAGCTGTAAAGCGGAGACCACTAATACATTATTTATTTCTTCTAGAAGCTTTTACTGTAATTTTGAAAATGTTAGCTTATCCACTTCGCCAGTATGTAATGAGCATATTTGTATGCTCCTGGAGAGACTAAAAAATGCACTGGATTCAAAACTACTATCAGAACTGACCAGCCTCAGGAAAAAACAAAACATGTGCGGACCGAATTGCAACGCCACGCTACGCATCATCATAGAACAGAGAATGGAATGGCAGTCAACTCACTACCTCAACTTCATCAACTTTAAAAAGACATTCGATAGCGTCAACCAAGAGGTAATTTGGAAACTGCTTCAACGCTGCGGTTTAATGTCACAAACATGTATCAACTTCATTCAATAGCAGCTATATGCTACATGGCAAGCGATTCACAATGGAAAGCTCAGTTATGTCTCTGAAGGGAATACAGGAAGGAGTAAGACAAGGCTCCGACCTACTATCACCAATCATCTCCCTGATTGTGGTGGACTCAACTGGATCGCAAAACAGACAACTGTGAGGAGCTGTGAGAAGATGGGCATGCACTGGCTGGACACATGAAAAGACCCTACACAATTCGGATCTCTCTACCGATGATGATTTGTGTATGATATCACATGAAAACTCGAAGATGAACAGGCGAAAATCAACAAGTTTGAAGAGGAGACATGGTAGAGAAGACCGAATCTCCCCTTCAGGTGAACGTAGAGAAGACAGAGGTGATGAAGTTACCGAACCAACAACAACATCAACAAGAAGCACCAATCACCATGAACGGGAGAAGTGTGAACGAAGTTGTCTCTTCCATCCACCTTCCTAGTCAGCATCGTTTCAACTTCAGGCGGCACAGGCACGGATGAGGACGTCAAACCAGGATCGGAAATATGGCAAGACAAGCCTGTATCAACCTCAAATCAGTGTGGAGATCTACTGGACTACACTCAGAATAAAGTGTGAACAAGATGTGGATTTTCAACACTCAGTCAGTCAAGTCAATGCTTCTATGTGATGATTCAGAAACTTGGTGCGTCATGAAAAGCATTTGCAACAAACCACAGACACAGATGAACAGCTGCCACCTACGCTCATTCGATATTTGAGATGATATGAGAAGGCCGGAAAGAAGGAGCAAGAAGGAACTCTGGCTGGCTGGCTGGCAGGCTGGCTGGCAGGCTGGCTGGCAACAAACCAATGAACCAAGAACCCATCGTCCAAGAAATGTGCAGAGGAAGAAAGTGTAGATGGATTGGAATGGACATACACTGAGAAGACAGTTCGGTCAGGCCAGACGAGAGGAAACTATGGAGTGGAACCCGAAGAGGAAACGACGAGTTGGGGGACTCAGATGAGGGTGACTTGGAGAAGATGGTGTGAGGAAGAAATGAAAGCTTTTGGGCAGTGGTGGAGCCGGATTAAGAAGACTGCAGAGGAGAATGTGCAATGAAGGCGTGCTGCTGAAGCGGTATATTTCACTAGAAACGCAATGGATAAATAGTAATACTAATAAATAATTGTACGCTTTTACTGCAGTTTTATAGTTAGCATGAATCACGTTTCCTAAATAATTTGTGTATATTAAACTGTAAAATACTTTAGGGACAATATTTATCGATAATATCTCGATGAAAGTGGTGGTTATAAGTGATATATCCCCTTTGCAACCCATCTGCCAACATTGGTCTGTTGATTTAATCAAACCGGCTAACAAGGAGAAATAACTATTCATAATATCAGACCTTGTCCATTGTACAAGAAGTATCTATCGTAATCCATTAGGCTAGTGAATAATTCTATAGCGTTTTAAACCATGTGTGCTTGGTTCAAGCCTAAATGAAACACCATGAGTAGGATATAAGCGTATCCAACTGACAAGTCTCAAATTAAACGATTTTTGGATTCTGGATTCCTCTGACAGATAGTATTTCTTATTATTCCCAACATGGTTCATTACATATTATTGTTCGATTTTATTTGGACTCTTACACAGAAAGTTTTTGATAATCATGCTGCCTAAATTTCTACTTACTAAATGTATTCTAACTTAAGTCGGGAAAAACGCTAGTTAATATTGCAACAAGTAAACAATTTGTGATTATTCATTGTCTGAATTTTTAATTTGATTAAATTTGTCTATAAAATATAAAGTGGTGACATTTGTGTGAAATTTCTTTCTCATTTCCTTCTACTCCTTTTTAGACTTTTACATCCAATGGGAATCCAGTATGGGAACCAGTAGTGAATTTAGACAATGTGCCATTATTTTCAATTAGTGAGAAATACTTATCCTTTGAAGATACTGTTGGCCTTAATCGATTGTATCAGTGTGACAGTATGTTTTAATTAACTGTTTAATTACTTTTTATTGAAGTCTTACACATTATAAGGATTACTGTTCTCCTAAGTGTTTGTTAACCACTAAGCACTTTAAAAATTTGTTCAGATCGACTGTTTGTTTTATCCTCTTAAAAAATTAAGCATATCCCAATTCACCATTGAAACGAGTATCGTCTATATTTTCCCTAACAAGTTGGTATTTAGAAGAAAAATATCACGACTGATTCAAATTTTTGATAGCATACCTCAAACTTGACTTCTTTCTTTTTTCAAGAGAAGACAATGATAGTATTTACTGGATCAATAGGTTCTCTGTAAAGGAAAAATGGTATTTCAAGTGATTTATTAGAAATCCTCAGACTAGTAAGTTGTCTTAATGATTTTGATAATTCATCTACATATGGTCCTGAGCAATGCATTTCTTCGAGATTCGTTAAAGTTTCTTAAAACTAATAATGATCGAAAAATGTGAATTACTCATTTTTTGACAAAGCTGATGAATAATGAAGTATTCACCTCAAAAGCTAAAGATCTTGGGTCAGTGTTAAGCACAACTAAAGAACTTTAACTTGTGATTGATTATACAACTACTCCATATCTAGATGATATGATTTCATGAAGAAAACTGTCTTTGATCTGCTACTGTGGTTTTTCAGTCAGCTGACAGCATAAGTTGAACTTTTACAAATATAATTCATATAAGAGCAGTATATGAGGAACACTGATTTCAATCGAGAAAACTATTTCGAAGACATTAAAGTACATTCTTTTTAAGATAGGAGTTTGAATACCATTGATGAGATCTCTTAACCTTCATTTTTATAAACTTTGTGATGGTCATAGGTTTAAATTGCCTACACTGTAATCTTTGTCGCTTCCACTTTAGTCTGGTTGTTAGAAGTATCACACAGTGAAACAATGGCGTCCATATTCATATCAGGTAACTTCACAACTTCAAGACAGACTTTATATATTCCTAATTTTTTCTCCTTCTCTGTTATGACAAGGGTAGTAGAATTTTCCATATATCTGGGACTGGTGCAGAATCATTTCGATTACATTGGTGTTGATTCGATAAACAAAGATTTACTTATCAATCTCTAACTAACTTAGTTGGATAGAGGGAGAGATTGATAAGTAAATCTTTGTTTATCGAATCAACACCAATGTAATCGAAATGATTCTGCACCAGTCCCAGATATATGGAAAATTCTACTACCCTTGTCATAATAGAGAAGGAGAGAAAATTAGGAATATTTAAAGTCTGTCTCGAAGTTGTGGAGTTACGTGATATGAATATGGACAATAAATTGTGTCCAAAACGTTACCCAGTAAATGATACTGTTTCACTGTGTGATATTTCTAATCAAACAGACTAAAATGGAATTACAGTCGACCACAGTGCCCACGTTTTACTCTTATATTAATCTTTGCTGCTGTTTTCATTTTTAAACACTAACTTGGATGATCTCTCATTACCCTAATTGCATATGTCTTAGCAGTTTCTTAGAAAACCAGTGAAAATATTCAAAATTAATTAACAGAGACTACAATCTGTCCCAGATATTCATTAACTGTTAAGATCAGCTATTTCTCGAATAGTTTCGACCTTATCTCAATTCCTGAATGAGACAAGACAGCCGTTCATTACTTGATAATTGATGAATCCATAACATAAATGATACGATGGTATGCCAGTTGACAGTCTTAGATACCCGTGACTTGGTAGACTTGTGTTGATAGTGATCGATGATTGCATATAAAATGAAAGTATGGGATTCGACAAAATCCAAACCAGCAACCTCCAAGTCTTTGACCCAGTGGTCTATCAAATGTACTATGAGACCCAGCAGTAGACAGAGACTTAATTTCCCTACAATCACCTACGGTCTGCACCTACTGCCATTTGAACTCGTAATTCTGAAGTAAAATTAAGATCTGATCTGCAAGTGGTTCTGGTAATTGTGATAAACAATAAAAGTGATTAGGACAATTGGCTAAATTTCTAGTTTGCATATTCTTTTATGTAATCAAATCTTGATAACCTAAATATTTAGTATACTTTTTGTTTAGATTAAAATTGACAGTTGACTTCGATTTATCAGGTCATGTCAAATTGGATAATAAAATTTGACTGAATGGCTGAAAATCAGTGCTTTATTCAGCAAGCAAATACCAAGATGAGATAATAATTAAAGATGTTTAATAGGGAAAGACAGAATCGGTTCCAAACTGGTGCACTTTTGAAAAACAGTAGCGTACTGATAACTCCTTTCATGAACTTTACATCAATGTTACTTGTTTGAATCCATCAAAGAACGGAATATGTTTTCATTTTCCTTCTTAAAAAGCACTTTTTTTTCTTGCTCATGGCATACACCTTCGTTGTTTCATAGTTTGCATTTAAGCAGTTGTTTGTAGTTTGTACCTAATCTAGTGGAAAGTAGTGTTAAAGAAATTTCATTATTGTAAACGTGAGACATAGGAGTTTTGTTTCATATGTCTTCAGTAGTTTCGTCTTCATAGGAAAAACAATCAAAATACACAGCAACTTTGAGCATATTCATGTGATAGGCAATGGGCGACACCAATTGTGTGAGGGCTAATAATACTGCCTGACTGCCCAAATCTTAGTAGGTGAAGGGTTGTCTGAACCCTCAACACACTGGTTGATTGTCAACTCCCTAAACCAATAAGCCACAGTCATGCTATCTTCTGATGCATGCTAAAGATCCTATACAACACCTGATTCTGAGTACGCTGAAAATCCAGCTACCATTGAAATTGGAGGATGAGGCGTGGTCGAGTATATAAAAAAACTAAGTGTCTAACATTTCTGACCCATCGTAAAATAACAATGGATAGTTAAATTAATGGTGGATTGTGGCTAGCAGTGGAATCCAGGATGCGCATTTCGTCCTATTTAGGACTCGTCATCTAGATGTACCTGCTTCCCAGTGAGTTATATTGTTCCCACCGGCATATCGAGGCATCCGCACAGAAGCCCATATACCAATAGAGACTAATCAATTCGGTCGAATCAACGACGGTATCATATAAAAAACAATTATTCTAATGGACGGTTAAGTTTATCCAGAACTCAGTAGCATAGTAAACTTGTGTCACTTATCACATGAATAAGTTGAACATGAAAGAAACTTCTTTCTCATTTAGAGATTTTCTTTCATTTTAAGCTATCTGACACACATCACACTTCAAATAAAAGTTGGATGTGAGCAAACATATCTTCCAGTAGTCGTGCTATATTGTGAATTGAGAGAAATATTAAATTATGGACCAATGTATTCCAGTCGAGTGACTGAATAGCTATGAGCTTGTCACAAGACCTGATTATCGTGAGTTTGACCAATGGCGAAGTTGTAGGTATGTACTGTGAAGGACTTTAACTACGATAGAATAGCTGTTAATGTATCTCAGGTTTTCAACGATCCTCCAATATATGTCAGCCTGTGATGATCATTACCTTAAAATTTTAACAAGTATTGAAGATACATAACTACTAACCAACTGGATGGATCCATTTTAAGAATAGACAAGTGTCATATGCTTGGGAAAAATAGAATAAGGATAAAGTATCTGTGGATTTTCCATCAGATAACCATTAACTGACGATGGTGAATTGTAAACGGATTTTAAGTTAACCTTTGTAAAGGATTTAGGTGGACATAGTTTAAGTAGCATCCAATTCCCAGTAGTTATTGTTCTTTCAGGATGAAAGAATAGTGGAAATTATTTTTCGTTTTCCTGAAATTCAGATATACATTTAAAGTTCACATAAAATTCCTTTCTTTACTCGAACAATATGATTTACGTGCTTCAACTTCTCATTTCTGATCACCAAAAAGACAATGACATATTCATGATAATCGAATTGCGCCATCTCTATGGTTCAAAAATCAAACGGTTTATATCATAAGAACTGAAAGTTCTGAGCTCTGTGCTCAATTTTTATATTCTGGCTTAGAAGTAACATTGAAACCATACAACTATTCAAACAATTTTCCGGTGTTTATATCTGTAAAATAAACCAAGTCAACTCACTTGTCTGTTTAATGATTCAATTGTAACAAAGGTATTGATACAAAAAATCAGGTTTAAAAAGAGAGGGAAACAGTGATTTGCATGCATTTTTAACATGCCATTTAGTAGCATTATGGGCAATGGACTATACGGGAAATTTGATAGCTCGATATTTCTTGAATATTCAGTGTAATAAATTACCTAGCGACGGCTAGCAGATGAATTCAGAAAACCCATTTCATCCTATATGAAACTCATTTGCGGTGGATACACTTGTACCCTAGTGAATGACTTCATTCCCTCCGAGACTCGAACCAGGTACTCACTACTTCAAACTCCACTAGACCATTAGTGCACGCCATGTCCCTTTTTGTGAGAAAATTATTATTTACTTCTATACGTCAATAACTGAAGAATTTCAGGTGACATGAGACTGCCTCTATATCCTACTCATTAAAGTAGCCTTTCAAGATCTGCTCTTATATTGTATCGCTTACTGTAGTTTAAATTTATACTTACTCTCCATAAGTCACAGCTGGAGCCTATAAACCGTTCCATTGGTATCCAGAAGCTGTTGCATAATCAGTTCAAGTAACAATGAATGTAGAAATAAAAACTCTAAACTTTCTGCATTTACCTATAGAGGGATCTTACATTTTTGATAAATTAATTATATCCCAAGAATTAATATTATTGTTAATTTTTTTAACCTCAACAGAAAATTGTTCCAACAAGAGTACATTATGTGGTCCAGGAGAATTTAGAAACAAACACTGCATTTGTCAAAATGAATCACGTGAGTGAAAATTTTCAGTGATCAATTCAATACCCGGGAATCATGTAACTGATCACTAGTGTTCTAAATAATCAGATCACGGCAGCCTGAGCTTTAAACTTAACTTACTCCAGCAATTTCATTTTGAATTTTTTTATTCCACTTGGTGGTTTATCAGGATTTGTCTACTGGTTTCAGGTTGGCATTGGTTAAAGAAACATTGGCTCAATGATAACGTGCTGACCACAGAATTTGAATGTCCTGGATTCGAACTATAGTGTACGGCTGATGAATTTCATACTAGGACGAAACAGTAGTCTAGTGCCCACAAGTTTCCAATAGTTCCTCAACTAATGTCAGTCCTTGATGAATATCAGCCTCAAAACTTTTATATCTAGAATGTGGAACAAATGAATTCCGAATTAGTCTTTTGGAAAATCACGTATACTAATGAGTAGTGTATGTAGAGTGAAGTTATTTATATTGTTCAGAAGTCTTTACCAGATAACTGCAAGTGATCAACACAACAAACACTTGTTTCAACCCAAAACGCCACACTACTTAAACTAATTAACTGTTTGAGAACAGTAAATTCAAAGTTAGTTACTTGAGTCCATTCGTTGATCTGAAAATGACCCACATGGAAGAAGTTAGTAATAGTTATGCTACAGAATGTGGTTTGTTTTATCCTACTAACACACATATATCATTGGAGCTCGAAGCTGGCTCGTAATTTAGAAGAATACAAATGCCAATAAAATCATTGATAACTAGTCAAAGTCAATTAACTGAATGGTAAAGTGCTCATTGCGAAATATCATGACCGTGGTTTTGATCTCTGGGTAGGGAGAAGATCGTGAGTGTACACTAAAGAGGAGTCCCATACTATAATGAAATGGCTCTACGGTGCTCCTGGATTTTCAATGGTTCTCCAAATGATATCACTATGTGATGAATACCACCCTAAACGCAATTTAATGTGACTGTTAGTAAACCATACCATATATTTTTAACGGCATAGCCTTATCAAAGTTGATACTATGATATTTTTATGAATTTGAAAATATTCTCTTATGCATTATGCCCTGAATAAATAATTCTGTTATAGAATACGCTTATGAACGATGTCATGATGACGTCAATCAAACTGCTTATTGTAGTGATGCAGCTCTAAAAATAAATGCTATGATGAAGCACGATTTGCTGTACCTCACTGTAGATATACATGTGGAAGATGTTTTCGAGCTGGTTCAATGGGAATATCAACACCTCCAAAAAAGTGTAAGTTTATTCAATAGTTTTATTGAGTTATAAACTTCTGTTGAATGCTAAAACATCTATTTTTACCAAGTTCCATTCATTAGACTCCTCCTTTCGATTTTGTTTTGTAATTTATCAATTCAACCTCATAAATACGGTCTTCGAGATCAGCAGAACGTTCAGTATGATTGTAACCAATCGCAGAGTAACTTCAGTCTTCAGCTTCATGCAACAGATAAGCAACAATTTAAACTTGTAGATCAGAAGAACATCTGTCTGTAACAAATCATGTTTACCTCAGAGTAATTTCTATCACTGACTGATGGGAGCTGGAGAACTATTGAAAAGTTAGTAACATGGGATAACCATCTGGTCCTAGTTCCTAACTATTCAACATTGCACAACAATACACCTACAAGGATGAACTCTGTGCCTATTATTCATAAGTCTTCTGGAACTGTGATCGAAATTTGTGATTTGTGGAGCTATTCACATGGGGAGTGAGGTAGATAGCCATCAGTAACATTGAATGATGTTCGCATAACATCACAGATTGACTGAAATAGCGAAATACATATCACTGGATTACAACTTGGTGACTGAATAGTAACGCGTTCGCCTTGATATCTAACGGTCCTAGGCTCGATCCATCACCGGGTTGAATACGTACACTACTGAGGACATGACTGCTACCCATTGTCCGTTGTTTTTCTCCAGTTGACGTTATTCAACGATGAAAAATGCTTTAAAATCTCAATTGACTACATACCTAAAGACTGGAAGAAAACCAACTGATGTAGTGTTTTCATAATGCTGAATTACATTATAGTATGACTGAAATTTGTAAGTCCTGTTTAAAGAAAAGTAGATTTCCTGAACTACAAGAAGAAGAAAGAGAATTGCAGTCGTAATTACCATATTTATGAAATTTGATGGTTTCATGCAATCTTGAGCAGCTCCCAAATGCCTCATTCATATTCAGTTAGAAAATATTGAGTATCTGTATTTACGCCAGCACGGTCATAATAACTTAGCTATAATAATATAACCACAATAACGTTAAAGAAGTTAACCAATAGGATTGTAGTATCAGTCTTAAAAGCGTCGAACATGCATAACTAGTGCGAATGTTATGACGCAAGTGCACAAACAGAATGGAGTCACTCTGACAGCCATCCAAACAACCGTTGAAATCACCAACTTGGTGGATTCAAACGATCAACCTAAGAACTACTGAAGTTAACAGTTAGAGTACTTTATTTTGTTAAAAATCAACTATTTCAGTCAAAACACAGGAACCTAATTAGTTTGTGTTTTAGTAGTCACTAAACTAACCTTTAGAGCCACTCAGCGTAATGATTTGGTCAACCTTACAACGATGTCCAACCATCCAAAATATGTTAATAGATGTTTCCAGCCGAACACTTGAACACTTATAAATAACAGAGATCATAATCCACTCAACAAGATAGCTGATATTTTATTTGTGAAAACTACTTTTAAATCAATTCCAAGATGTGTAGCAAGTGATTAATGATGTGATGTTCCGAGATACGGAGATAAAACAGCCTATCATTTTATTAGTTTTGGAATCTCTTCTGCTTACCTAGATTTGTGAGGAAAAGACAGAGAGTCACCAGGGATTGTCAGTCTATCAAGTCAGAGATTATGAGTTTTCCGTTTACTTCAATTTGCGCCATTATCTTCAAATTTTAGTTTCTCGTTCAAGACGACAAGTCGAAGGTTATGCAGTGATGGTAGCACGATGTGGGATACAGTGCTTTTTTATTGCCTCTCTAGCATTTCATGGTTAACGACCGACTGAAGGAAGCCTTCAAGGTAGATTGTTCAGGATCAGATAGTTTATATTCCTGTTGAAGTTTGTTGATGTTGACTATAGAAATGTGTCTTATGACAGAGTATCTTATCAAACAGATTAGCTACTCCTTGAGTTCCTTGACTCAAAATGGAAACGAAATAACAGACTTTCGTCTACAACACTCGACACTGCTGGTATCCAGAACCAAGCAAGTAAGACAGCATCACCCTCTCAAACAAGTCAGTGCATGCTTAAGAGAATAAATCTTTAAACTCTACGTCAATTGAAGAAAAGTAAGTAGTCTGAAAAACTGGTAAATGACCAAAAAGATTCAGAAACGTATCGAAGTCCATCGTGAAGAATCTATAAATAAACGAATATATATGGTTGTTACTGACGAACATAACATATCTCAAGACGCTCATCACAGTCCAACTGAAATTAGTTCATCAGGGTTGTCAAAATTTGTTTGATTGTTTCAATGTTACAAATACCACGGTAACATTTGAATGGACACAACTGGTTAGCGTGAGCTTTGAGCATTTTCACAAAATTAACACCATACAATATTTGCATTTAGTATCTGAAGCAATAGGAGATGTTTTGCTAATATTTATCAGTTTTGTTATCTGTAACGGTAAGGAGAGGTTTTATGAAGTGCTCTTCTTCAAAGTATCGGTAAACTGATACTTTCATAATCAACTTTTATGGATACAATTCATTTGCTTCAAACTACTGCAGCAAAGTAAATCACCAGAAGATCGTTAAAGAATGGTTTTTTACAATACAGCGAAATGTTGCCAGTCAATCATAAGATACCATCGCACTATCCATCTATCTTTCAAACGGGAAGTACCTTAGTGTGCCATGAGATTCCCTGGATCCGCACAGGAAGCCCCGAATTATGAAGTCCTCCACGACCAATCATCCCACTTCGAAGTTTTGAGAAAAAGCACGTGGACCTACAAGTGAACGGCAAATCGGTTGAAAAGGCAAAATCAATGGGATATTTCATTCTAGAAAGGCCTAGAAATACCTAAAGCCAATGTAAATATATTTTAACCTTTTTATTTTGTACATTTCTCGAGGTTGAAATACACCTTCTGTCATCTCGCCACTTTTTCTGTCTACCGAGAAAGTGGACGACCATCGAGTTTTCACTGTCACATATATTTGATCACGATATATCAATGGGACCATGAATGAAAATCTGACTGTTCACTGTTGAGAACAACTTTAGTTGTCCAGTCACATCCAAAGATCAACAAGAATGGTTCCCAAGTTCTTACATTGTGAAGCAGTTTGTTTGATGAAGGAAATACGAATTACAGTCAATTGTAACAAAGATATTTTGAAACGTTCTATTCGAGAGATGTTTAGGTAGAACTGAAACAATCAAATTAAAAGTTCTTCCATACAGATTAAATTGAAGAAAGGCACTGTCACCTGGCTACTGACATTACTGATTCAACAGATGACTAGGTTAGCAAAAATAAAACAGAGAATTTCGAGTTAATTCTTGGAAATAAAAAATTTTCTTCAATAAAAATTAGCATATTAGGTAGAGTAAACCTAATGTTTACACACTGTCTTATGATGCGGAGCTGTGAGAACGAAAGAAAATACTTGATAATTGACAGTCGAGGGTTGAGACGATTCAAGTGGAGTGATTGGCAAAAAGAAATCAAAAGACTGGAAATCAGATGAGTTTATAGTATCTCAGACTGAAAACGTTTATGAGTGAAAACGGACCCTTTTCACAGAGTTTACAGTAACCTTGAAAGACAAGGAATAATTTGTGCATTTAAAGAGGCAGGAGCGGATTACACGAAATATGACCCACGTGCAGGAAAAGAGCGCAAAATAAACCAGTTCAAATAAATACAAACTGTAAGTATGGAATGTAAGGGATATAGACATCCCTAACACTTCGTAAACAATTTTCCCGTGAAAATTAAGAGTATATTATTATGTCAAGATAAATAAAATTTCATGATGGTGACAAGTGTGTGTTGTAAAATTAGGTGATAAACGTGTTAATATTCTTAGCTGCCTGTTGTGAGTTAGAAAAGGTAAAAGTTAGGCAGATGATTAAAAAAGGAGTGGAAAATGACATCAACGGTTGCAAATAAACAGTGAAAAAAACCTAACGAATACAGTAAATGCCACATTTAAAAAGAATTTTCAAGATTTTTCTAAATTATTCACAGCGTTGTGACTTTCTTTGACTGCAACCTGTCAAGTTGGAAACAGGGTATTTCGTATTCCCAGCGGAACAAAACCACAAAACAAATATTTTCCCATACAGAGGAAACCAGTAATTAAAAAAGATTACACATCATCAATAAACAGTTGCTTCATCTGTGCTACAACTGGTCATTCCCACTTTTGTACGCGACCAAATCCCATCAAACGTTTAACTGATAGAAGCCGACGAAAACTAGTGGCTAAAACATAGTGGTTAATTTTCTCAACCACTTCATTACATATAGTTAGATAAGTTATTTATTTAAGTCAGTGATGAAGCAATGATTTGTATGTTAGAGTTAAGACACACATTTACAACATACCAAAACTATCATTCAGTGTCCAAGAGAACTCTGAATTTTGTCAGTATCTTCAACTAACAGAATCAAATCGTTTACACACTCTAAATCAACTAGAGATTCTCTCATGAGAATTTCAGCCTTTAGCAGAGTTACACATAGAGGAAATCTCCATAAGGATATTAGTGGCAAGGTGAAGTAAAAACTGAGTGAGTGAAAATCCTTAACAAACAACATTTGAGATTGACATCTAACGTGAGAGCTCACTGTTCTTTCTGATGTGGCCATAATTACCGTAGATGTTTAAGTACGCCACCTCCAGCAGAATGATGAACTTTACAGATACCTATTTCAATGATAGACTTCACTATATAGCCTCAGAAAAGACGAGAGGAAGTGCTGTTTTTTGAAGATCAAAAATACATTTTTTGTCAATCATGAGTAAGTATGCTTGCGTTCCAGAAACCGGTGAAGGGGAGACCTAAATATTTGGTTAATCCAAACATGGTCAAGTCTTAAACTAGCAAGTTTCCTCTGGATCTCCTATCTTCAAGCCTAAATTATGCTACCTGTGGTCATGGAAACTAGGAATAACTGTGATCATATATCTAAACCATCTACTCTCATGGTAACTCCTAGTGATGTGGTTATTTTTCATCCACCAACAGAGTTAATCTTAACTTCAACAGATAAAATAACTTCTCTTAATACTTAAAGGTTATTCCTACTACAGAATAAATCGTTGTCTGAATATATCTAAAGTGATCACAATTATTGGTTCATTGAGATGAAACTCTAACAGAAGGAAATGTCTTCCTAACTAACTAACCTTCCTAATTGTCCACTGCACTCCCACTCTACAATGACTACATCCGGATGTTCAAAAGCTTTTAGGAGTTCCATATTTGACTGTTTATTTGATATAACCCACAGTGACACAGTATAGTTTACTGGATGACGTTTCGAACAGAATTTATCACTTACATTCATATCAAAGTAATCATATGACATTGCTTATTTGATTATTTTTATATGAATATGAGCAATATATTCTGCCCGAAACGTCATCCAGTAAAGTATAATGTCACTGTGTGCTATAGCAAATAAATAATCTAATATGGCATTATACTCTACCACAGTCCCCAAGTTTTTCTCTTACATTGATTTTTAGAAGGAAATAATCTTTCAGTTCGTCCTAACTCCAATACATGAATGAGGCAACAGAAGTTACAGGGGAACAAAAGTATGTGTTAATATCACAAATAATTCTTGCTGTAGTGCTCATTCAAACGGCCCACCCATGGATGTCAACTGGGATCCATTTCAGAGATGTATTTTCTACACGCTGACTCAATAATATACCTACACTCGCGGGACCATGAGGTTATCTAAGCAGTAATGGTTATCATGAGTCTACCATACTAGGAAGGTGAGATCAACTGGATGACATAGTTAGCTAAAAGTGAGGTATAAAACTTTTATAAGGCAAAAATTGTAATATGGAATAACGAAGGATCAAGAGCATGAAATTTTATACATTTAGTTTTCAGTAGTGTTCCAATAGACTGGACATGACCTTCTATAAAAACAGATTTTGATCATGGGCTACAGAGCTGAAATAACCTAACCCTGATGCCATATTATGAAGACAGAATCGCGAAAAAGTGTAGCAGCTAATGAGTTCAAAGTTGCTTAGATATTTGGTAATGGCTTAAATGTCTAAAAGTTATGAGGATATCGAACACATCTGTTTTCAAAACCAGGGGATGTCTCTTCTTCTTGAGGTATTTTAAGAAAAGCTGAAGAAGTATCAAAGACTTTGCCGACCTAAGACAACAACAGTCATCAAACATCTGTTTCACACTGGTAGCATATGTGCGTTTAAAAGTACTAGATGTACAATATTTTGAGACAGTTGTGTGCTTTGTAGAACTCAACCATTATCATGGTTAGCTATGTCCTAATCCATATCAGTTTGCAGAGCAAATGATAACAAGAATGTGACTAAAGTGTTCTTCTAGGGATGATCTTTGAACACTAGTAATCTTACTCAGTTAAGCCTTGTCTTCAGTTAGCAGTGCTTACCACTGACGACAGTTCTCAAAGAAATGGTTAGATTTCCGATTTAAGAGCCGAATGACCAATCATATTTATTCTAGTAAAACGACTACTCACGTACTGACTACCGAATTTGATTGATCTAACCCCATTCCATACTCCTTCTATAACAGCTTTATTTATCAGTTATTAGCTAAAATTTGATCTTCAAACCCTTTATCGCATGTAAACCTATAAATTGATTGCAGAAAGAATTTTAAAGTGTTTTTGCCTACTATTATATAATTAAGTAGCACAATAAATCACATGAAATTAGCAAATTTTTGCTGAGAAAGCTTTTCACCAGACGACCTGAAGAATTCAAAGTACCCAAATGCTTTTGAAAAGATCTTGGAGAGATACGCATGGTTTTACATTTTGTAAGTGATTTAGCCTGATGTATGCAGTTTCATGACAGAAAGATATTGTGTTACTATCATTATGATTGTCTAGTTTACATAGTCTATTTTATACAACTTACTTTTTCAGTATGTCATGATGTGGAAACTGAGTTATGCGAAAATTATGTCAAAGAAGGATACTGCCATTTTGATGGGTGGACCAAACTTAATTGCCAGTATTCCTGTAAACTGTGTCCATCACCAGACGTCGTCAACAGACAAGTGGAAACAGGTGATGTCAGAGCTTATTTAGAAGCATATCGTAAAGGTGATTGTTTCAACAGATATGATGACCTTCGGTGTGAAGTATTTTCTCAACGTGGTGATTGTCGTACAAATCCTGGCTTTATGTCCAGTCAATGTACACAATCATGTGGCCTTTGTCCTGATAAAGAAAAGCAGCAGAAAAACGCCAACAGAACACTTTACTCCCATTCAACAAGTCAACCAGTGCCTTGTCATAATTACATTGATGATCATCGGTGCGATGCTCTAGCTAAAGAAGTAAATGTTTCATTATCAGTTCATCATTTGTTTAAGTATACTTATTAAATTTTGTTGCACTAAGAAGTTAGCGTGTACTACAGAAACAAAAAACAAAAACCTACATTTTGCCATATATAGACAATTTTACCATGGGTTATAATTTGGCTGAGGTTTGCACGTACCTAAAAAGGTTTGCTTGCTTCGGAATGACATACATTTACATCTGCAAGTATGCATACAAATCAGGTTACTTTAAGGAATAATGCTTTAAATATGGTAATAATTATGAATTTCATTGTTCTAAAAACGCTGTTGCAGTGTCTGAGTGAGAAGAAACAACTGGTCAATGTTCCCTACTTGAATTCATGCAGCCATATAAAGGTTTATAAAGAGCTGTTGCCTCAACCAGCGGAACTGGAAGTCAAAGTGTCCTCAGCTATCACGTGGACATTCGTGCAGCAAGCAAGGATCACGCATTTTGTGTGAGGCCTGCTGATACTACTTGGTTAACAATACCTGTCGGGTGGAGATAGGTTCGAGCTCGTGGCCATTAGTCGATGGTCAGTTGTCTAAACCAATGAACCATAGCACAGCTCCCGACTACTCATAACTATTGGTATCCGCTAACGATTTCCACTGTCACCATTCTTATTCATATTCGTCATAAATGTCCTGATCGATGTAACCTCATTATATTATTATTTATTATTTGTCCCTTGGGTTCCTAATGGAACATACTGCTTCAGTAGCACGCCTCCATTGCAATCTCTTCTCTGTAAACTTTTGAACGTGGCTCTACAACTGCCCACAAGCTCTAATCTCTTCCTCTCACGATCTCCTCCATGTCACCCTAGTCTTCTCAGCAACGAGCCAGCGTAGGCAGTTGTTGATGAATGTTTGTAGTTTGTTGAAATCCCTTTCGTAGAGCGCCAAGTCTCTGAGCCATATAGAAGCACTGACTTTACTGAATTGGTGTTGCAAATCCGGATCTTGTTCATGCTTTACTCTGAGTGCAGTGCAGTAGATCTCCACACTGGTTTCAGGTTAATGAATGCCTGTCTTGCTTTTTCGATCCTGGCTTTGACGTCGTCATCTGTTCCGCCTGTAGTTGAAACAGTACTAGATGTTACCTCATGTACGTCAAATTTATCAGTGATTGACTTACTCTACAGACGACAACTGAGTGACAGATTATACAGACGAGAGTCCTGCTAGATGTACGTGCTGGTAAAATGCAGTCTTTCTAACATCTTGAGCTGAAATCTGAATATGTTTGACATACGGTTATCATCTATTAACCGAAAGATGATAGTTCAGAATTGATCTTCACAGGCCTTTAACGATAAAGAGTGAAATAGTGAAACATGCTTACTAACTCTCTTGTGGAGTTGGATCAACTTGAAATGGTTATTAGCTGATAAAACTTCAGGTTGGATTCAGATGACCTGTTTGGGATTTGTCTATCTACTAAACCATTTATGATACCTGAAAGACATCTAATTACACATCATAAGGAAAATATACTTTACGGCTCTACTGTTTGGTCAAAATCAAATAAAACTGCGTTGCACATGACGAGCCATCTATGTATCGATGAATGATGTTAGCTGAATCAGAATTAGCCTATGAAAGAAAGCTAAGGTGACTAAACAGCAGCAGCCCAGTAAGTCTTTCACTGGTAGTCTGCGTTATATAGGCTTATGGGCTGGGATACTCACAATGATAGAAACTAATGGCTGCGGACTCGGTGCGAAATGGTTCAGAATCTACTGCAATGCCATAAATGCATATACTGTTTGTCAGGCTCAACCTTTGGAGCATCTTGATCAGTTTGCATCCATTCATCTCGTCTCCACCCCTTATACATTTTTCTCCACCTTGCTGTCATTATTTCCTGATTCACTTCTTTTCATGCTACAGTGAATTGTGGTAGCTTAAACTTATAAACTCTTATGACAGGCTGTATCTTTATGTTTTGGTCTTACTTAGTGTCCAATAAGTGAATCTTATATGCAGTTAGACTCTACCAAAGTTCCTAAGTTCTGTACCTACAATAATAAAACGTTTACATACACTGTCAATCACGAAAATTGACAATTAGAGTTCTTCAAGTGTAAATATCGTCTTAGTTTATGCAGGTTTTCTGCGTACTAATACCTCTACATTGTTGTTCATTTTTTTCAGTGCGAACGTATATAAATATATGAGTCTTCCTTTTTTACGTAGGAATCGAAATTCATTCATTCATGCCTTAAATTCGCTCTTCTAAGCAGTGACTTAAAATAGACAATATATTCATACAGTATGGATAAAATCCTTTTGTCTTACATACAACATTTCAAGCTCACAAGAATAAATTTTGAAAAGAGGAACATGAGAATTTCCATTTCAATACCATTTTTGATATGCGTGTGAGGAAACAACTGAAAACTAGTTCAAAGGTTTGTAGAGATCGGTCAATCTCTGGATGGTATTAATCATGAAATGATATCAGTCAGAGAATCATTGAAAGCCTGAGAATATCGGATATCTGTGTCACCTTAACATGTGACTGTTCAACAGTGTGCACCCATGACCCATCACAGAGCGAACCCTAGATTGCTAGGCCTCGTGACGAGCGTGTTAACTTAGAGCCACTGGGTCAGAGTTCAGTGGGTATAGACAACGACTTAAGTATAAAAAATTATCAGTTGTTCAAAACACTCCAACATGTATTTCTGCAACCCTTGGTATCTGAGTTACTTTATTGTTAACCATGGCCAATACTTATTTACTCAGTCTGTCAGTCCTAAGCAGTGTAGTGGTTGGCTGTTTCTCTACTGAAATGTTTTAATTAGAAAACTAGCACTTTATGAAAGTACATAGTTCATCCACTGCCGTAACACCAGTTTTCAGCAAAGAAAAGCATTTTATGTTGAAGTTTTGAACAACAGGCTTAAATATAATTTTTCAGTTTAAAGCCTGTGTTCAATACTCAATTACTATGCGTGAGATTAAAGACAAAGCATAAAAGATTCCATTAACAGAATATTCGATCAACTTTTACCAAAACACTTGATCGCTATCAGTTATTAGTCAGATAGTTAATTCACTCTAAGCAGTCTGTTTTCTTCCCGATGCAGAGAACAACATAAGTATAATACTTCTAGATAAACATCACTTCTGATTCACTTCCTTCTTTGTCTGAAACATCATTTTCAAATTTTTGTTACAAATTGGGTATATATTCTGGCTAGAATACGAACAAATACTTAGAAATTATTTGTGTATCATTTTGTTTGCTAATTTCTTAGAAAATACATTTACCCTTATGTTTCAGGGGAAGTGTTATGGAACCACACTAAAGCAATGTCTTGGTTCATGTAATAAATGTGGAGATGACTATCCTCGACAAACTACTGAAAATACTGCCAACTTAGTGACGGAAAGCATGAATTCAACAATATCTTCAGTGCCCATAAAGTGTGAAGATCAATCACCTTTATGCTCATATTATAAGACAAGTGATCAGTGTCAGACGAACAAAGTTATCAAACTGGAAATTTGCCCTGAAACTTGTAGATCCTGTGAATCAAAGTGCAAAGATTTGGATACACCAAGCTTCTGTGAAGATCTCGTTCAACGTGGTTACTGTAATCGATCAAAGGCGTACGCAGAAAGATGTATGAGGAGTTGTAGATTGTGTCAGGATGACATGATAACAGACAGTAACTCAGTAATTTCTATGAAATCAAGAACAACATTACCGACTTTTGTTACTGACGTTTCCCCTGTGCCAGTGGCAACAACGAAAACAATAATTGGTCCTACTGTTTCTAGTGCTGCAACGACGGAAATGACGACATCAGATATTGTCAATACAGTATCGACCAATACTATCAAGCCTACTGTAGCCAGTTTGAATATGACACCAAAAGTTGCTAAAAATTCTGTACTACTTCGTCGAAAACCTTCACAGATGCCAAATATGTCAGTAAGCGAACATTTCTACCTTCAGAATGTAAGTAAAACATACTTTATGTTGACTGACGCCTTCATATTAAAATTGTCACTCATTTTTGCCTAGAATATTTTACTTTGCCAGTCATGAATATGCAGCTCAGAATTACACTATCTGCATTAACTATCAAAGGAAAAATGTGATGAATCTGTGTTTACTGTATGAATTAAGTAAAAGTTTGCTTTAAACGACATGAAAAGCGAATATGATAAAAGTTTGAATGATAAAACGACACGTTAACTGTATATGTAATCTAGGAAGTGTTGCATACAATTTTTCCCTGACTTCTATCTCAGATGGCTTTATTCCAGATCTTTTATAATACGCTGGTTTAGGCCATCATGTCTTGTGACAATCCCGTTTCTGTTTACCCTGCAAGTTAGAATCCACTGACTTGACCAAAACGAACTTAGCTACCTCATAGAAGAATCGGACTGCCATTGATTTTTACTGTTAACTTGTCATTATATTCTCAAATCAGTTTATCTATCAAGCCACAGCAAATGTTGGATTTTTATGCGAAAAATTAACAAAAAACCAGTGTGATATGAGTTAGTTAGGGAACCACTGAAAACTTGGGAGCACTGGACAGCTGCTTCGTCCGAGTATGCGACTCTTCAGCAGTAAGCACCCATGATCCGGCTAGGGATAGAACTCAGGACCTTCAGGTTTCAAGAAAAACGCGTTTAGCATCTAGCCACTTGTTCGGAATTCAGTAGTCCAAAGTTTCCTGCTTCGCTCAGTCTGTTATGGTGTCTCTATCAAACAAGATCTCCAGTTGGCGTGCGCTTCCTTTCTGACTACTTGACCCTACATGTCACGGTTTCTCATTAGAACTTCGTGATATTCATCTAGAAACTGGCTCAGTGCCTGAGTTGTTAACGCGTTCGCTGCAAAACGTGAAAGTCCTGAGTTCAATCCCTAGTAGCACAGTGGGTACGTACTGTTGAGGAGTCCTATACTACGATGAAATAGCTATCCAATGATCTTAAGTTTTAAATGGTTTCCCAACTGATGACAGTTCATGATAAATACTACCTCTGAATCAAAATCTTCATTCATCTCAAAAATACATTGGTAAAATAGTCATACTGAGTATTCGTCAAAATTAGGGATAAGGATTTATTTTACTGGGATATGTATTTACTGAGCATTAGGTTACTTTGTTGAAGTGTGATCAGTAAGTTGAATGGTTTAGTTTTATTCTGTCCAAGAATGATCAGTTTCGGAAAGAGAAACAATAAATTACTTACGGTTACAGTCGCTATTGAAAATAAGTAAGAAGTTGCTTACCTCTCTATTAACTGATGTATTCAACTTCCTTTTTCAGATCCATCTAACAAACAGGAATGCGTTGATTTATCGCCAACATCATCATGCATATCATGGAGAATGACAGGTTACTGTAATTTTCCACATGTCTCTAAATTATGCTTAAAAACATGCCATTTATGTGAAACTATACTACTGTTAAACAAATATCGACCAATGATATTTTAAACGTTTTGTTTCTCTCCTTACTTCTTTAAGTGTATTTTAATCACATTTTGTTTTATTTTTGTTCCATTTCGCTTTATTTAAGTACTCAAATTCAATTTTATTCACTTTGTCAATAATTCTGATATCTGTGCCATATAATAGTTCATTGGTGATATAAACAACAGTAATAATAATAATATACAATATACTTTGAAAAAGGGTTAAAATTGCCCTTAACAAGCTGGTTAAAGCAACCAACATGACATTTCTTTCAATTATTTAAACTATGAAAGGTTAGAAAAGTTATTCTGTTTCTCAATACACGATCAAAATTAAGCATGAAACTAGTCAGTCGATTAGGTTTCTCTGAACTGAATATGGAAGTGTATATAAGCTTATTGGTCGAAGGTTGCGAAATAACTGGGACAGGTGGTTGACAGATAATGCTACCTGACAACATCATATATCTGATGGATATAAAAGAAAGGAACTTTACCAAGTTTGATACGTTATCAAATTTCCTTTGCTTTGTGAACACTTTTCTTCTTAATCAGCAATTAAATCTTGAGTATTTTATTTTCACTGCTAACATATTACTTTCTCATTCTTCTCGTAGTTCATTTCTGCTGTTTTCATCATTATTTCTTCCTCTTCATTTATCTTCCGTTTTTATTTCGCCTCTTATTGCGAATGTCAGATATAGTAAATTGGATAAGGACATTATTGTAGTACATCAGCCTACGTTTGTGATATCAATATTCGTATATCTATCCAATGAACACATTAAAACAAATGAAATCGAAATAGGAATTGGTTGATTACTTTTTCAAAAAACAACACAAAATGCATGGAATTCACTTGTCAAACTGATTGTGAATACCTCATCACCAGTGGAATATTTCCATACTTATTAAGAACCCATTTAAGAACCTTTTCATCAGTTTGTTCAAGATACATTAATTACTAAAAACCAATTTTCGAACTGTTGATTACTCCTTGAATAATTTTTTTTCTTGACAATTCATAACTTTATTGAGTCTACAAATGCTACTAGTCAAAGTAGAGAGCCTTAGAAATGTCTCTACAAATAATATCAGTCTGTGATGAATACAACCTTGAAAATAAAATGCAGTTAAATCCTTAACTACGTTACGGAATATTATTCATTAGTGACATACTTTTAGATGAATATTTCACAGTTCTAATGAGAAACCGTCACCTATGGGGTCAACCAGTTGGAAGTGAGATGGTTGCCAACTGAAGACCTTGGTTGATAGTCATGTTATATCCTGAATAGACAGATATAAGAAACCGTATATCATTGAACTTCACCCTAGTAGCTGGAGGGTTAACGTGCTCGCCACAGAAACTAATGGTCCCCAGTTCGATACCTGGTGAGGTCATGGGTGTGCACTGCTGAGAGTCCCTGTAATATAACGAGGCCGCTGCCCAGTTCTTCCGAGCATTCAGTAGTTCTCAAGATGATGTCAGTCCTTGGTGAATGTTACCTTAAAATAAGTATTAACTAATAGTCTATTCGGTGGCTTGCAGTGGAATCCAAGATATAAATCTCGTCCTATTTGGGACTCGTCAGCTGGATGTATCTGCACTACAGTGAGACTTCAAACCAGTGCCCATAGTTTTGAATGCCAAAGTGTTATCCATCAGGCCACTGGGGCACGACAGCCACCACTTTTTTAACATGTATTGGCTGCTGTTGCTCATCGATACTTTTAATTTCTCATTACTACACTAGGTTGAGTTGCTTGACATCTGCTGGCAGATGAGTTCCTGTACGAATCATCTCGATACCGCCTGGATATTCATTATATTGTAGTCTATTATGTGGCTAGCAGTGCTATCCAGAACTCCCGTTCCAGGTAATATGGAGGCATTCGGAGCCCATCTACCAACAGAAGTGGAGCAACTCTACCCGGTACAGTAACGTTAAATCACAAGTATCAATACACAACAATAAGTATTAAATATTCTAGAACCCATGTTTACAGCATTATTTCAGCTATAATACTTAATTCTCATGCTTTAGAAATTGTGGAAACTAATTTTGTGATAATTAAGATTCAGTTTCAGAGAATAATTTTGGCTGACTATCTGTAGATTACGTTACAAATTTTGAACACTTTATCCTTCATTCACCCATCATTATTATTTTTTCTCTTGGGTTCCTAGTGAAACATACGGCTTCAGTAGCGCACCTCTATTCCACTCTGTTCTGTGCAGTCTTTTGAACCTGGCTACACTACTGCTATGTAACTTTTATTTCTTCCACACATGATCTCCTTCATGTCACCCTGATCTGGGATGCCCAACTCGTCGTTCCCCTTTAGGATTCCTGTCGAGGGCTTGCCTTGTGATGTCCTCAAACGGTCTTTTCAGTGTATGCTCAATCCATTTCATCTCCACTTTTTTCCTCTGCATATTTATTGAGTGATAGGTTCTTGGTTGGTTCTTTGCCAGGATTTCTTGGTGCTTGTTCTTTCTGGCCTTCTCATATGATATTCAGTATCGAGTTCGCGTAGACGGTGGCTGTTGATGAATGTCTGTAGTTTGTTGGAAGTGCTTTTCGAGATACGCAAAGTTCCTTAACCATATAGAAGCACTGCCTTGACGTTGGTGTTAAAAATCCGGATCTTGTTCACGCTTTATGCTGAGTGTGGTATATCTGCACACTGATTTCAGATCAGTAAAAGCCTATCTTGTTTTTCCGATCCTGGTTTTGACGTCGTCATCTGTGCCGCCTGTAGTTGAAACGATCCGGCCGTGGTCCAGATTTTCATCTCATCTTCAATCATCACCCAGTACAATTTCATATTGTCTAGTCCGGTGTACTGACCGAATTAGTGATCATACTGCCATATAATCGATGGAATTCAGTCAGCACTTGGAATTAGACAGCAGGGAATTGATTGATCTTCAGTAACCAATCAATGTTCGTCTGGAAAGTCCATGGTTCTTACGACCTATAAAAGTCACTTCCAGGGGAGCAACTTTGTGATACAATAAAGGGATTCAAAGTAGTGTGCAATGTACTCTTGTCAAATCAACAGTCTGACAGGAATATTGACGTATTTACTTATCCACTACAATGTTCACACCACAGGTGTATTGTTAACCTGGCTGTTGAGACCATTTTGCAAGGTGAATCGAGCAATTATAACTCGAAAATAAATAAGCTTTGACCAATCTTCATCGATCACAGTATTCAACTGAGCAAAAGACGACAAGAGGAACAAGTCTGTGTTGTTTTTTCTGCTACCATTACTACAAGTTCTCACCCGCTGCTAACTTGTGTAGCCGTTAAAGCACAAAACATGATAATCACAGCATATTAGGAGTAAATGTAGTTAACCTGTTGAAATTCCCGCAAACAATATGGGTAATGTGGGAAGAAATGAAACGGAAACTCACTCTGGTGCTGTCATCATCAGAGTTGTTAATTATCGTAATCGTCTTCCCGACTACCATAGGATGTTAGTGAATTCGCCAGATGCAATAGCCGAGTATGTTTTACACTAGCTGAATTTCGTGCAACACAACTAGTGAAATTTTTTCTCACTAATACATATCCTCAAAACATTTTGTAATGAGCCAGTTTTCTGTTTCAGTAAATTCTCCTACTATTTCAGGCTGTATAGAAAAGGTGATCGTGAACCAAACGAAACTATCCTTATCACTTCATATTCTTTGTTTTAAGTGGTAGTAAAATTTTTAATCTTTCACTCCAGCTATCTGCATGGAATTAAGTACAGCGATTTAATCCTACCCCACTGTGTGCTTGTGTACGCATTACAACAGCTGGATTTTTTTCTAGATTATTGATCTCATTGAGTTCAAACATCATACATAGGGCTAAATCCTTGCGTTCTGATAATCTAACCGACTCCAATTGGCTAGTTTAATCCATTTGCATGACCTCACAATCATTAAGGGTAATTTTCAGATCAAATAATTTTGTTCGATTGGGTTTATTGGGACCTCAAACTGACGAAGCTTGCCTCATAGTGAGTTTTTAAGTTTGAATGCCACGCTAATTCCAGCTTTGTTGAGGATTCTGTGTAAATTAAATGATAACACATCCGTGACCTTGAACAACTCCCTACTTGTATCATTATTGTTACTGATACTCAAATTACTGTTATTACTTCGTTTCTTATGCTTTCCAGCCCTATTACTCAGACATTTCCGCTCTAACTAATATTGGATGAGTTGACCTGGAATCTACAGTGGTTATTCACTAGAGAGTAGCCAATTACATGTGGTCTAGTTCTGAGTGCTGACCAAATCCTACAGATCACTTTTGCAATGTGACCACCAAGCTAGGAGGCTGAGCATTGTGGTGTATGTTGACAGATGTTAGCTGGTTGGTCAGTCACGGTTCGAAGTGTTCAGAGGTAATGTCGATTGGCGACCCGGGTTCGAATCCTAGGTGGGACACTAGTTCTGTCGAGGCTGCAGATATGCTTTGCTGACGAGTGTCAACAAGCACGAAACCTAGGCCCAGAGCTTCGTGCAGATCACCTCCAGCTAACTGATCTGAAGTCTAAATACCTTTTGAAATGTGTTTGTTTCTTATGGACAGTAGTATCTGAACCACTGTCTGTTCTTCATTTCACTTTATTATAGTATTATTATTATTAGTCCTTTGGGTTCCTAATGAAACATAGGGCTTCAGTAGCACGTCTCCAGTGAATTCTGTTCTCTGAAATCTTTTGAACCTGGTTCCACGACAGCCCACAACCTCTCATTTCTTCCTCGCACGATCTCCTCCATGTCACTCTAGGACGTCCAACTCGTCACTTCCCATGGGGGTTCCACTCGACGGCCTGGCTTGACTAAATGTGTGATGTCCCCAGTCGGCCTTCTCAGTGTATGCCCAATCCATCTCCACTTCCTTCT